ATAGTCTGTATATAGGTACCTTATCAGATATATGTTTTGCAAAAATTTCTCCTATTCCATGGGTTGTCTTTTTACTTTCTTGATGGTATCCTTTTAAACATAAAGGTTTTTTATTTTGATGATGTCAAATTTATCTGTTTTTTTTCCATTAATTACATATGCTTTAAGATGTTATTGCCAGGCCGGGCGCGATCGCTCACGCCTGTAATTTTAGCACTCTGGGAGGCCGAGGCAGGAGGATTGCTTGAGCTCAAGAGTTCGAGACCAGCCTGAGCAAGAGCAAGACCCCATCTCTACTATAAATAGAAAGAAATTAGCCAAACAACTAAAAAAAATAGAAAAAAAATTAGCCGGGCATGGTGGCGCGTATCTGTAGTCCCAGCTACTCTGGAGGCTGAGGCAGGAGGATTACTTGAGCTCAGGAGTTTGAGGTTGCTGTGAGCCAGGCTGACGCCACAGCACTCTAGCCCGGGCAACAGAGTGAGACTCTGTTTCCAAAAAAAAAAAAAAAGATGTTATTGCCTAATCCAAGGTCATTAAGATTTACACATGTGTCTTCTTCTAGGAGTTTGATAGTTTTAAAAACTCTTATCTTAAGGGTTTGATCTATTTTGAGTTAATTTTTATATGTGGTGTTAGGTAGGGGTTCAACTTTATTCTTTTGCATGTGGATACCCAATCATCCCAGCACCATTTGTTACAAAGATACTCTTTCCCATTTAGTTGTCTTAGTACCTATGTTGAAAATCAATTGACCAAAAATATAAAAGTTTATTTCTGGACTCTAAATTCTGTTTTATTTATTTATTCGTTTGATTTAAAAATATCTTTTAGAGGCAGGATTCTCCCACCTCAGATTCCCTAGTAGCTGAGACTACAGGCACATACCTCTGTGCTAGGCTTGGACTTTAAATTCAATTCCATTGATCTGTGTGTTTATCCATATACCGATAGCACACAGTCTCAATACCACAGTTTTATAATATCTGTGTTTTTCTTCATTTTAAATTCCATGTTCTTTGTTGCTTATGTATAGAACTTCATTTAATTTTTGTATATTGACCTTTTATCTAACCACTTATTAATTGTGTGGTACGTTAGCTCACTGTTTTCTATAGGTAATTTTGGATTTCCCTCTTAGGTTGATTATCTGTGAATTATGACAGCTTTTCTTATTTCCAATCTTTATATTTTTTAAGTTCTTATTGAGCCTGGTCAGAACTTCAGAACCATAGCGAATAAAAGCAGTGATAGTAGAAATGTTTGTCTAAAGCAAATGTATTTACCATTTCTCCATCAAGTATGAAGTTTGCTGTGGGTTTCTCATGGATAGTTTTTCTCAGCCTAAGAATATATATTTTTTCCTCTTCCAGTTGCCTTGGAATTTTTATCCTGAAAGAAGGCTGAATGTTATCAAATACTTTTTCTGTATCTATTGTGATGATCATTTTTTCCTTTGACTGTTAAGATAGTGAATTTTAGTGGTCGGTTTTCTAATGTTAACTCAACATTTTATTCTTACAGTAACCTCAACATGGTCTTAATATGTAATTTTTTTGGTACATTATTGGATTGTATAATATTTGCTAATATTATGTTTAGGTATATTGCATCTGTGATCATGTGTCAATTTGTCATTTTTTTCCTTTCTCTTACTGTTCTTGACTGGTTTATGATATACTAGGTGTTATGCGCTGACCTCATAAAATGAGTTAAGGAGTATGTCTGTATTCTCTAGAATAGTTTGTGTGAGATTGAAAATACTTGTTCTTGAATGTTTAATATTTAGCTGATGTTTTACGATGATAGACTGTTTAACCTACAGATATGGGATATACTTTTGACTTTGTGAAGTGAGACTGCAGAAGACGGTATTTGTTTCCGTTTTGTTTTTGAGACGGATTCTTACTCCGTCACCCAGGCTGCAGTGCAGTAGTGTGACCATAGCTTGATGTAGCCTTGAACTCCTGGGCCCAAGCAATCCTCCTGCCTCAGCCTTCTGTGTAGCTGGGATTACAGGCATGTACTGCCATGCCCAGCTCATTTTTAAAGTTTTTGTACAGATGGGGTCTAGCTTGCTATGTTGCCCAGGCTGGTCTTGAGCTCCTGGGCTCAAGTGATCCTCCTGCCTCAGCCTCCCAGAGTGCTGGGAAGGCTCACAGGCACGAGCCATTGTGCCCAGCACAGAAGAGGGTATTTGAATCATGCATTTTAGCAACTTGTTATTTCTGTACTATTGGCCAGTCAAAGGTTACAATGTAGCTGTAAATTATTCATTTGACTCTAGCATAGAGTAATAAAATTATTGTTACACGGATGAGCGATTGTAGGGAGAGCTAGGGAGTATGTCTTTACCTTTTTTCTTCCACTACAGACAGAAAGGCAGTGTTTCCTGCATGTAGACTAATTAAATTTCTATTTATTTTGCAGAAGTGATAGACCTTACTCATGATAACAAAGATGATCTTCAGGCTGCCATTGCTCTGAGTCTCTTGGAGTCCCCCAAAATTCAAGCTGATGGAAGAGATCTTAACAGGTTATTGATTTAATTTGTGATCATTGCTCCCCACATTTGTGTGTTGGTCGAAGGCAATATCTCTGTGAATGCCACTCAGGAATAATTCTACCAGGCTCCTTTAATGGCACCTGAATGAAATTTCTTCTAAAAGAAACTTTGAATCCACATTAGCTTACTTACTCTTTGATGTGCTTTTGACAAAGCCAAATATAAAGGGGTCTTATTACAGCCTGAATGTCTGAGTAGAAGTCTATAAGGTTTTATAGTTCATGACTGCTAAGGGGGAAAAAAAACAGCCTAGTCCAGGTACCTGATAAATATTTATTCCTTTCACAAAGTTTGAGGCTTATGCTGTTGGGCATTTTTAAATGAAAGGTATCACTCAACTACCCTGTCTCAGAAGTGACCAGGGGTTATGTTTTTTGAATTGGTACTAATTTGGTGATTGTCTGGTATTGTTCACAAACATCCTGTTCCAATGGTGGCCTGTCAGTTTCTGGGTATATTTATTCCCTCACACCGCCAAGTTGTTTCTTTCAGGGAAACACAGGGCCATGTTTTGTATGCTTGGCAGTTTGGAAGCTCTTATCTTTAGCACGGTGTCTCTCTTGCCTGTTTCAATGGCAGGGTCTTAGGGTGCTGTTGTTGAGCTCTGAAACTTTTGCTGTGGTAGGCTTAAATAGTCTTGAGTCTCAACTCAGTTCCATCATGGACCTTAATAGCAATAATCTCTGTTATGGAAGGATCAAGATTTATATGTTTAAACCTTGCTTTTCATTTATGTTATAATCTTATAGTTGCTAGTTTTTCTGGCATTTTGAATTACCTATGAAAGGTTACCAACATCCTCCATGTAGTATATTGTTTTTTAACTATTTTCTTTTTTGGTGTTTGTTGGTACAATGTAGGATGCACGAGGCAACCTCTGCAGAAACTAAGCGCTCGAAGAGAAAACGCTGTGAAGTCTGGGGAGAAAATCCCAATCCCAATGACTGGAGGAGAGTTGATGGTTGGCCAGTTGGTCTGAAAAATGTTGGCAATACATGTTGGTTTAGTGCTGTTATTCAGGTATGATATTTTTATGAGACAAGTTTCGTCTGGAAATAACTTGTAATTGATTAAACTGAAATGTGAGAAACACAGCTTTCAAAAAACTAAAACAGATACATAAAACTGGTGAGTTTTTCCTTTGGCATTATCATGTTTTGGATTTAGCCACTCTGGTGGCAAAACTAAAACGAAAACAAAATCTTCTGTGGCTGTAAACATATTTACTGAATAGGTGTTCCAGATTGGCATGTAGTGACTGCTGTGTTAAGGCGGAGTGTGGGTGAATAAGGAGAACTGACGCGTGGGAGGCCGTCGTAGCTGTCCAGGAGGGGAGCGGTGTGGCCTTGAGTAGAGAAGTGGCAGAAGTCATGGAAGGAGAGAAGTGAACACATTCGGGGGTACTGAGGAGAGCAAACCTATAGGATTTGGTGAACGACTGAATATAGAACATATGCATTCGAGAGCTGAGAAAGACTGCGGGGTTTCTAGCATGAGTAACCAGGTGGATTAAGGTGCCATTTGACACTGTAGAGGGGGAGGAATAATTAGGGCGTGTATCAAGAGTGGATTTCAGTTCAGTTTGGACCTGGTGAATTTGAGTTGCCTGTGCGAGTCCTCCACGGGAAGATGCCGTGTAGGCAGTTAATTATGTGAATCTGTAGTTCAGATGAAAGTTCTGGGCTGCAGATACAATGTTGAAGATCAGTATTATATAGATGGTAATACAGGCAAGGGAGGGAATGAATTCACCTAGAGAGTAGTGGCTTCTAGAAGTAACTCCTTGCACCTTAAACTTCACGTGGCCACACTGCAGCCCTCGAGCCCCACCCTGCAGTCTTCTCCAGCATGGGACATGGCATAAATTCAGCTGCTCAAGCCGAAAATGGAATCTTCCCTTTCCACACATACAGCATTCAGCTTCTGTATGCCTAGCACTGTTTTAGGCTCTAGGGAAATAGCAGTAAATAAAGCAAAGCCCCTACTCTCATGGCGTTTACTTTGAAAAGAGTAGAACAGACAGTAAACAAAACGTGTCAGGTGGTGGTAAGTGTTGTAAAGGCGAATGGCGGGGGTAGGGGGTGCTGCAGAGGGTTCAGCTGGGGGAGGGCAGTCAGGGACAGCCTTGCTGATAAGGCAGGCATTTGAGCAGAGGCCTGGAGATGGCCAGGGAATGAGAAGGGACATTTCAGACAGAGAGAACAGCAAGTCAAAAGACCGAGGTTCAGGAGCTTTGCTGATAATGTTTGAGAAATAGCAGGAGAGCTAGAGCTGAGTGATCCAGATCCAAGAGCCATGGGGTGAGAAAGGTGGTGGAGGTGGGGTGGGGCAGCTTGGGGTCATGACGAGGATTTGGGAATTACATATGACATGGGAAAGTATTGGAAGGTTTGGAGCAGAGAAGTGATATGGGGGAGGGGGAGAGAATGAGCCCCCACTGGATTCACATCGCCCTCCGCCTTCACTCCTATGGGGAAGTTGAGAAGATCCGGCAGACCCAGAGGATGACTGGGAAAGGTTTCTGAGACAGCACGAGAGGGTAGGACGGAGAGCATGTGGGGAGGCTTGGCCCTGACAAGGAAAACGCAAAGCAGTATGGGAAGGGAGAAGGAAGAAAGGATGGCTGTACATTAAAGCTGAAATACCGTTTAAGGCTCTTTTTTTTCTCTGTGAAATGAGCAGCCATCTTTTGAGACAGACTGACAGTCAGATTTTAAAGGGAGTGGAAGTTTGAAATAGTTGTTGGAGATAGGAATACCAGCTGGCACCAGAGTACAATAGTAGGATTTCTAAAAATTTGAATGTCTGCTTGAGGTCGTTGACCTTGAATGTATGGTGATGTCAGAATGTTGCTTTTTTCAGGACTTCCTCATAGCAGCACTCTGAAGCTCTTATGTGGAAAATTCAACTCACTTAGGTTGGAGGATTTGCTGGGTGTGTGATGAAAGGACAAAGCGCAGTCCTGAGAATTTCAGAAGGGTAGTTAAGACCATGGGATCCAAGCGAGGTCGAGAGAAATAAAGACACGATGGAACTAATGGTTAAGGAGCAAGGAAAGGGGTCAGTTTGCTTGGGTCCCTGCTGACGTCAAAGAAGAGGTGTCCTGTTGGTAATTGGACAGAGAGTGTCAGAAGTCATCATCTAAGAGTGGGATTTTCTGAATATGTGACCTGAGAATCGGCACATTTCAGGTGTTGACATATCCCAGGTGTGGCCTGGGCTGTGGGGGTAGAGATGAAGTGGAAGAATATGTCATTAGGATAAGATGCTCAAGAAACCAAGAGGTCTCCAGACTGGATGGGTGTACATGAGTTCCCTCAGCAAACAACTGAACACCTACCCTATATCTAGCGGTGTTCTAGCTCCTTGATGCAGAAGTGAACAAAACAAAGACAGCTGTGCCCTCATGAGACCTACATTCTCCTGAGGTGAGGTGGGCGATGGACAGTAAACTGAAAACTAACTGAATGATTAGCTGTGCGGCAGGTGAGTTGGTAGAGGAATTTCTGGAAGCGGAGGGACCGTGCACAGCGATTCCAGTGAGCAGTGATGGACACCGATGGGGAGAGGTGGCGATAAAGAGCCCCAGAGGCAGAAGCCGAGGGACTTGTGATTTAGTACATAGGAATGGTTAAGAGAGGAAAATGATTCAGAGATTATCCTGACATTCAAACTTTGATGACAGGGGGAGGAGGTAATTAAGTGATGGAGAGAACACAGAAGCAACAGCTGTTGGAGAAAGAATCATGTTGCTAATGGGTTGGGAAATGTGAGTAATGTTAGCTCACACTTTGGTTTTTAAGAATAATGGCATCTTTGGGGAAAGCCAGATTTTGGTAAAGGTTGAGAGGTGGAGTGAAGTGACCGAGAATGTAAGCCATTTTTCTCATGGTAGAACAGAAACCCTGGAGAATGCCACAGGGAGGCAAGCAGAGTGGGAATGGAGGTGTGCTGCGTAGACGGGCGTGGTGGGAGGAGAGAGAGTGGCTGAGGATAGTGCTGACCAGCCTCGCCCTGACTCTGCATAGAACTTTGGTGCCGTATCATGACCTGGTTTGAAATTTCCAGTTCAGTTGTATACTCACCCTGTTGGCTGCGTCCCCACCAGGGCTCATGATAGAGTGAGAGAAGCCGGAGAGGTGGCCCGTGGCCACTAGTCAGATACTGCCACTTTAACTATACCTGGGGTTTTTTGAATACCAAGAAAGTATTTTAGTTAGTTCTGATTCCAAAGTTTTGCAGTTGTCTACCTGGGATGCTGCTTCAAGTGTTCAGTGTGTAGGCTTGAGAGATTTTTTTCATTTGAGGAATATGTTGGGATGAGGAGTTATATAAGGGATGTTTTAAAAAAATTAACTTAGAGAAGATGTTTGTGGTGGAAAAATGTGTGATTCACATATAATAAAATAAATCCTTCTCCCCATCTTTACCCACCAGAGGTGTGCGCTCTTAAACTTTTAATTCAGTATTTATGACAGAGTGGAGAATGGTAAACACTGCTGTACTCACCACCTGGCTTAAGAAGTAAATGTGAGGCCAGGTGCGGTGGCTCACGCCTGTAATCCTAGCACTCTGGGAAGCTGAGACAGGAGGATCGCTTGAACTTATGAGTTCGAGACCAGCCTGAGCAAGAGTGAGACCTCGTCTCTACTAAAAATAGAAAAATTAGCCAGCTTTGTGGTGTGTGCCT